GTTTTCCATTACATCAGCTCCTTGCTCATTTGTATACTTTACTCAGCCAAAGGTTTTCAGGGATCCACGAGTTGTCAGATTTTTTTTTCTACTCCTTTTAACATTGAAAGTAGGGACTTGTCTTTGTCCTTTCCCATCTGTTATTTTGCACGTCCCATTCTGCCTTCTTGCTTTCAGGAAAGCAATTTTTTTTTTTTTTTTTTGCTTGTCAATTCAGCGAGACCAAACTGGTTATTGTAAAATAGTAAACAAAGGAGCTTGACTTGGAGGCTATGTAAATCAAAGCCTGCAGTCCTGGCCCTGTGTCCAAGCCTATGGCAGCATTCCCACTGTTATTAATGCTTCTATGAATGCTGCCAGCATTACCACTGGTGGTGCTGGTGCCTGCTCACAGCAGAGCAGCAGTGTGAGCTGGGCAGGGACGGCCAGAGCCTGCAGCTGAGAAATCTGTGAGCTATTGAGAGCATTCCTGAAATTGGTCAAGTTGTTCAAGTCTGCCTTTATCGTTAACTTATTTTTGAAGGGATTGGGCAGTGGAAGAGGAGTGGATTTTTTGTGTTTGCGTTTTCAGTCTGCTCTTGGATTTCCCAAAGACAGATTTTGGCAGACAGTGGCTTGGCGGAGATGCATCTCACATGCTGTCTGGGTTTGTTGGTGTTTGAAAAAGAGGGGGCAGGAGAAAGCGAGCTGCCCCAGCGCTTTGACTGGAAGCTGCCAACCTGGAGAGAGCAGCAGCTGAGGAGCTGAACTGTGCCACTCAGTGCGGATCAGCTCAATAGCAGCCAAAGCTTTATTCTGCCCTTTTCAGTTATTCATCTCGCTCCCACCATCGCAGCCTAGAGGAGCTGCATTTTTTTGTCTGCGTAAACCCAAAAGACAGTGTGGCCATTGACTCTCTTGCTGTTTCAGGAATGCGTCTTACAGAATTGTTATCAGCAAAATATCCTTCATTCTTTTTTGTTTTGGAGACAGGAAAGTATGTGTGTGTATGTATAGATTCAAATTTCTCCTGTGCTTCCTTTACTTATTGTTTTTTCTTAGTTATAGAAAAGACTGCTTTGGTAAGATTGTGTTTAAATCTGAATTGCCATGACAGTGGAAACCTGAAGCTTACCAGCACGCTTGCTGCAAGGTTAATGGTGCTGCAGATGCTGGGCTGTCCTTCATCCTTAGGAGTGCTCCTCCCCATGAGGTGTGTGTTAGCATCTGTGACCTCTGGGTTTCACTGCTGCAATGTGAGTTCAGAGGAGAATTTGAGGAAAAAATAGACTGTGGAAGGGAGGTTGTGCTCATATAGGCTGCACGTGTTTGTTTGGGTCTTAAAGGTGGTACAGAGGTCCACTTGGGGGAGGGAGGAAAGGGTGTGAATTTAGCAAACGTGCACAGAATCTGAGCACCTTTCACAAAGAAAAGCAAGCTGCTTTTCTTCTCTCCGCAAACCTTTTTAATGGATGTGCTTCTTTTCTACTTTTTCATGCTGCTGCAAGCGGCCTCATTTATTCATTTATTTATTTATTCTTCAAGAGGGGATTTTTTCCCCCTAGCATTATGAGTCCCTAGCCCTAATTCTGCTATAATCAGGAGTGAGCTGGCAGTCTGCTTGAGATGGTGACTTCACGTGTGGTGCTGGAAAGCTGAGCTCTTGCTCCATCATCCCAGCCCCATTAAGAGAAGTGAGCCAACTGAAAGCTGCGTCACAGTGTCATCCTCCTACCTGAGAGCAAGGTCTGGTATTCCAAAGCCTTTCCTCCTGAGAATGCCACTCAGAGTAGACATTTTAATGTTAATTCTAATGCCTGAGAAGCATTTCTGATGCTGTATGCATGCAAAAACAGGCGGTGAAGAAAGCAAAAACATACTTTTCTGTGAAGCTCAACTGTGAACGACTCCTGAAATAGCTCCTGTGACTCTGCAGCTCCAGGCTGCTGTATCTGTTACACTGAATATGGAGCTTAAGGTCATCAACTTGTTTTTTATCATCGTGCTTCAGCATAAAACAGAAATCTAGAGCTAACTATTGTTATTTTATGACTAGAAGTGATGATGTTAGAGTAAATGACATACTCAAATGGAGTAATAAAAAAAAAATCTAGACTTTCAAAAATATTTTTATTTTAAGAACCTAAATACCTCATTGGAAAAGTATTTAAGCTGTTTGAAGCTTGCCAAATGCATTAAATGGCCAGCAGAAACAAAACGTCACTGGGGCTCTCACACAAAAATCTGTGGTTTTGGAATGTACCCAATTTTACTTATTCATCTCCTGCCTTCTCTTATTTGGGGCCAGTTAAGATCGTTTTGGAAACAGAGCATCTCCTCCTGCATGCATTTTGCTCAGTGACTTTGCTCAGGCCCAACCAGTGAGGTTGCTCATGAGGAAGAACTCTGGCTGAATGTTTGCTGGGGCTGCCTGGGAATGCGTGATAGCAAAGTCCTTGTTCTTTGGTTTCAACAATACAGTCAAGGGACAAATCCCTGAGTTGTGCTACTTCAATAAAGAGAGCTGTGTAAGTGGGACTGGGCCTTCCATAGAGGTCAGTTCAAACAATGGGTTGCTCTTAGATAGACCAAGATACTGGTCCTCACAAATGAATCTCCAGCAGCTGGGATTTGAGGAAGAAGCTGGGAGGCTCTTCTTACATCTGTCAGCCTTTCCGTGCCTGACTTTGCTTTCCTGGTGTGTTTTTGTTTGTAACACAAGGCTGTATTGTTTTCCGTTGTGTTTAATGTAGCTTTCTGTGAGTGTGTGGGTGATAAGGTTTAATAAATTATACAGAGCACTTGGGCAGAGCAATGATTGCTGTGGCTCCTTGGGATTTCATTGCAGCAGGTCAGTGTTACACATACTTCTGTTGCAGGAGCTGGTGGGCAATTAAAGCTCCTGGAGAACAAGAAAAGTTGAAAGCTTTCCTTATCAGACATTTTTATTTAATTATAGTTACAGTCCTTCCCATTTTACGCTGCCGTTTCATCTGCTGGGTTGCATTCAGTGCCCAGCATTTGGTTGCTGTGCTTGAATTATTATTTTTGTAGAAAGAATGTGAAAGGTGATCTAGGAAAGTACTGCAGGCTGACAGCACTCACAAAAAAAAATAACTGAATTGAGTAAAATGAGTTATTAGGTGAGATGTGTGAGCTGGACAGATGGAAGGGAAGCCTATTTGCACACTGAGATTTGAAACCTTCTGGCCGAATTTGTTCGCTTCCAGTTAGTATTATTAAAATGTTCCATGATTTGGTATTTCATGGATTTATTGTCAGGAAACTATTGTCTGCCTGGAATAGTTCAAAGAATAACCCCACTCTGAACTGTATTCAATGGGTGCCCACTTCTCAGAATACATTAAAATTATTTGTTGCATTGTTTTTCCTGAAATAGCAAAAAATGTTTTTAAGTTTTTTTTTTTTTTTTTTAAAGCAGTCTGTCTTCTTTCTTGAAAAGGTTACTCAGAAACTGGGGGGAGTGAACAAAACGTAATGCTTCTGGGTACTTGTAGCTACCATGGCAAGGTAGACAGCACAGCGTGAGGAAACCATAAGTGCCTGAAAAAGGAGTGTGAGCAGGATGGGTTAAGTTTCCAAAGCCATTTGGCCAGGCTCTGGCCTCTGCAGCAAGGGTTTCATCCCCAGTCATGCAGCAGGCTGTTTGGGGCTGAGGGTGGAATTCGAGATGGAGGGGGTACATGGGAGCCAGTGAGCCTGGATGGATGGACGGATGGATGGATGGATGGATGGATGGCAGTTGTGAACAGGGATGAGAGGGACCTCAAGGCTCAAGTGACTGGAGGTAGGGAGTGATGGCAGGAGCTATACAGAAGAGGGAGAAAAGGAAGAGCTTCTGTATGGAGGCCAACCACAGGAAAGAAAAGGCAGCTAAAATAAACAGATGGGATAGTCAGCTAGGGAATAATGTTGGGCAGTGAAGCAGATAACAGAAGGCCTTAGGAAGTAGAATTGTTAGGAGAAAAATCTGAAAATATGAGAGGGTCACTCAGGGACAGATTGTTCAAGGCAGAGGAGGGAGGGTAATTGCCCAGTGCTCTGCTATGCTGGGTAGCAAAGCAAATCTGCATGGGTAAAAATAGGAAGGAGTTGTGTCTCAGCTGCTCCTCAGGCTCCTGTTTCCTTGCATAATTTCTGCCAGCTCTGTTGAAGGAATTGGAGATAAGACTTTGCAGAGTGCACAGTGGGTGCGTGAATTGAGATGTTGTGTTGTGAGTATGTTGGCTGAGGCACATGAAATGAGACGGATACTTGTTTTGTCCCTCTGCTATCTCCAGAAGGTCCTGCTAGCTAGCAGGTAAGTGGTGTGTTAAAGAAAAGAGGTGACATCCAACAGAGGATGGAGGAAGAAGTGCCTGTACGTGTCGTGAAAAAGCCTGTACCCTGAAGGAGGAACCTGGAGGGTCAAATTTGGTGCCATCTTTCACGTGTAGTATGGAAAGAAGCTGTTTCTGAGTGCAGAATGATTCATAGAAGGAACATATTGCAACACAAGAAAAGGGTAGCAGCTGTAAGCATCAAGGGCCACATGCTAGCCAGAGGAAACTGGCATTCCCTTCTGCTTGGTCAATTGCAGAAGGTTTATTTTGTGAAGGTACAAATGTCTAGAGATGTTCATTCTGGGCTGTGAGAGCTATCACTTCGTAGGCAAAGTAGGAAAACAAGTCTTGTGTGTGCTAATTTGACCAATTTAAGTTAAATTTGGAGTTTTAAAGGCTTGTAGGAGTAGGCAGGAATATATGCCAGTTTGACAGAGAGGCAAAGCCCTGCCATGTTTAGCAGAAGAAAGGGAATTGAATTCCAGCAGTACACACTGCACACTCATGCTGGTTCACAATGGTTTGTGGGTAAGAGTAAGCCAAAAGTGGAAGTGTTCAGAGGCTTGTATGCCAATGTTTCTGTGCTGCCCACTTATGAGGATGGCAATACAAGGAGCACAATGTCATTCAGTTTCAAGTGATATATGTTAAAAATTTCTTTTGACTTTGCTTTTTTAGGCAAGACAGCAAGCCCAGCTGAGACATCAGATGGCAGAAGACAGCAAAGCAGAATATTCTTCCACTCTACAGAAGTTCAACAGCGAGCAGCATGATCATTACTACACACACATACCAAACATCTTCCAGGTAAAGCTCACTGATGCCGTTCTAGAGAAGTTCAAATTCTCTTGATAAAAGCTAAGGGATGTGTTGCTTGTTGGCTCACTTCTTGGATCTTGCCTTTTGTTTGGTAACTTTTGTCCCCAGTAGCAGTGATTATATGCAGTCTGCCAATGCGAGAGATGGAGAGCTATGAAAAATTCTGCCCTTCTGTTCTGAGGAAGGCAACAATGAATTGTCACGACAGATTACGATAGTCTTTGGAATTGTTCACAGTCTTGCTGTATTAAGCTCTTGTGTCTGTGCAGCTGGGGAATGAGAGCATTATTTGCATTGTTGGAGCAGGAGGCAGCTGGGGCGTCCTTACATCTGTAAAGCTTCGTGGTCCTTTATAACCTGTTTTGAAATCAGACTTTGCAGATGTTAAATTTAAACTCCAATAATTCTGCAATAGTGAGTGTCAAAGAATTTAAGGAAGCTTGCTGACTGTCTTATGATGCCTGAAGAAAGACAGCAGGCAGAGAACAAAAAAACTATCAGTGTGCTTGGCTGAACAAAGAGAGATTAATGCTGTAGAACAGAAGTTCTAAATGACTGTTCCATTGTAATGGGTCATAAGAGTCAAGAAGAGGAACATGCACCCTCTTTAAGGAGAGGAAATGTCACATGCTTATCATCTGATAAGAAATAACGAATACTGGCATAGCAAATAGGCGTTTTCTTATTCATAAGTGGCACCTTCTCTTTTGCTCGTGGTATTTCAAACCAGTATCTTCAGATAAATCATCTCTGGCATTGTATATACAAGTGTGCCAGTGTACTTGTATTTAACACTGAATGCAGTGAATGCTGTGATTCGTAGATGAGCGTGCAAGTTGTGCACACACATCCTTTTAACTGCCAACCAGCAAGTAATCTCTGGTGCTTTCTATTAGCTGCTGAAATAACAGATATATTGTAAAGGATTTGTTTCCTGTAACTATTGAATTGTTGTTGTTGCTTGTGAATTAGTGAAGGCAATGAGGATTTTAGGCTGATGGTGTTCTGTAAGATTCCTGCAGTCTTACGTGAAACAGGCAGCTCTTATTCAAGCCCTTCTGTATCCTGCTATTACAATCTCTTAATAGTGTTATGCCACATCCACTCACCCTCAGTGATTACTGATATCTGATATATGTGATCTATACTGATATATGTGATCTGACTGAAATCTCGTGTTTTAGAAAATACAAGAGATGGAGGAAAGAAGAATTGTGAGGATAGGTGAATCCATGAAAACTTTTGCAGATGTTGACCGCCAGGTGATCCCCATCATTGGAAAGTGTCTGGATGAAATAACAAAGGCTGCAGAATCAGTTGATCACAAGAATGTAAGTGTTACCTTGCTTGTATGGCTGACTGTCATTTTTAGAACTGGTGGCTTCTGCGCAGAGATTGAAATGCTGGGTCCAAGCTGCAGTGTGAGGGCTTTATAGTCATAGAGCTAGAACAAATAATGGGCTCTTGTCCCAGGCTGCTTTGTCTGAGGCAGATTATTCCCTAAATCTACTTAACATCAGGAAATGCCACGCTTTCTTTTCTTTTAGGAATATTCTCTCCTTTTGATAGGATAATGACTTCTTGAAATAATTGTTAATGGAGATTAGAATTCTGCCCAGAATGAGGAGAATGATGGGCATTATTCCAGATTTCTAATCACCACCAATTCTTATTCAGATGGATTCTGTACTCTTCTAATAATGGAAGTAATTAAAATGTTGGCTTCATTAGTTATTACAACAGTTCTGGCAAAATTTCTACTTGGTTTTAAATTCTTCATTTGAAGAATTGAGGCTTGCTAGCAATCTGTACGTGAGTGCTGGTAAACCTTCATCCTGAACATCAAAAAATAAGCCTCCCTGATGGAGGCTGATAAGGAGCTCAGTTGTGCTTCCTGATGCACAGTTAGCACAAGGGCAAATGTGTTTTCTGTTTTGTTTTCAGAACGATCTGCTCCCTTTGGAAATGAAGCCTGTGCCTGCTCTTTCTGCCCTTCTCACGGGTCGCATTAGTGCTTCAAATACAAACAGCGTGTGTCTCGCTGTCTGTTTGAAATTCCCATGCAGCTTTTCAGTGGAATCTTTTCTGAGCTATTCAGTGCCCAGAGCCTGCAGTTAATTGGCAGCACAAGCCTGAGGCTGAGGTTTTGAAATGAATCCCCTGCTTTTGCACGGCGGTTGCTCTCCCAGGGAGCAGCATGGGAAACCAAGGAATCTGAAAGTTACTGTTTCCTTTTTGGGGTAGGAGAAGGAGCACAAATTCCCGTGTTTGAACAGCGTACCCTTTTTGGGGGTGCAACTCCTGGTGCTGTATGGCGAAAATCACTGGGGAGAGATTCATAACTGTGCTTACACCATGCTCATATCCTCAGGTGCAGTCTAAGTGAAACACACAAACCACTGACGCTGAGGATTTGATGCATTTTGTACTCAACTTTGGTCTCTGCACAGAAATGTGTCAGACGGATGGCTCACGTGCACAAGTGTGACATTAGAAAAAGGAGCTGTGAGCGCTGATGGCTTAGGGATCTTCTGCAAACACTGACAGAAATGTGCTTAACTGCATTTTTGTTATAGCTGAACAGTGATGAAAGATTTAGCCTGTTCTGTCTGGGAAACTGGTGTGCCTAAAGGATTCTTCTTGTCTTAAAATATCACTGAGGGCTTTATGTCTCTGGAACAGTGGTTTCTCACCTTGACTCTAATAAGAGTGGGACACTTGCTCCTGTGTCCTACCACGTTATAAGCAGCCATAGCTGCAGGCAGTGGCAGTTTAAGATCTTGTTCTCCTTCAGCCAGTCGTGCAAACCGCTACAGCAGACCTTTCCCATCTCTACATTAAAATTGTAAGAAGGCAGTTTTGACTGCTATCAGAAGAGTTTCTTTACTTTGAAAGATTTAAATTGAAGTTTATCTCCTTTACTCATCTCTTTCAAGCCTGAATTTGTTTGGATGGGAAAGTCAGCTAGATCTGAGCTGTAGTCAGCTTTGAAATTGAGGTCAGATTCCAGGCAAGTTGAACACAAGGACAGCTGGTGATACCAAAACCAGTGCAATGGTGAGCAATACCGAGAGCCTGCCGAGCAGGAAGAGCTTGATGTGGAGCTCTGGGCTCACACAGACACGTGTTTCCCAGCTGGGAGGAGATCTCAGGGATCTGGTCGTTGTAAATAAAAGTACGCAGCATCACCAAAGCAGAGATGTAGGAGCTCTGACACTGATAGCGAGGAAATGCAGCGAGCATCTGGAGTTCTCACACAGCTCCTGGCTGGTGTTCTTTGTTTGGTTGTCCCTTGTTCTACCAGCTATCGTGTGCAGAGTTGCTGAAAAAGGGGGAAGGTAAATGAAAGCTGTGCTGTTGGTGTGGTAGCTTCAGTTCAGAAACCAGGCCTTTGAATTTAACAGCCACAGCAAGTTCAGAGGATGCGTTTGTCAGAAAGAAAATAATTACAGAGAGAGCAGCAGTTCTGGTGCCTTACCTTGTGTACCAAACTGAGTCAGCCCTCGCTGAGAGGATGTGAGAACCTGCAAGTTCTGCAGCTTTTTTTTGCTGTCCCTAAAACCTTCCCAGCTGATGGTATGACGTCAGTATTTTTAAAAGGAAAAACAAAATGAAAGCACAGCTTTGCAGTTCATGTGAGTACCTACCCGAACTTATTACCACGCTGACCAATCAAGGGGTTTCCGTGGCATTTGTGAACAACTCTGATTGAGTATCAGACCTGTGCAGCACAGCAGTAGGTCAAGATGTCGTTCTGCAGTTAGGTTGAAACTCTGGAAGCACAGACTGCTAACAGCAGGCTTCCTTTCCACAGCCATCTCTGCCTGCCCTGCCATCCATAGCTGCCAGCAGGATTCTCAAAGACCACTTCATTTTCAAGGCCCCTCTTTCATTAGATGGCATTGAGAACCAGAATGATATCTGGGAAATGTTTCATTATTCTCTGCAGCTTAGAAATGACAAAGTTCTTCCTCACACCTACTAGCAAAATGGGCAAATGTTCAGGCTTAGCTAGGAAATTTGCAACTGTGCAAGCAGAATTGCTTTATGCCCTCATAGAAGTCCTTACAACTCCCAGTAAGCAATAGAAGCTCTCTGGAATAGCTGGTAGCACTGGTTAGCCCTGTGTTCCTACTGCAGCTCTGGATGCACTCCTGTTCAATGTACTCTTTCTAACACAGAGGTCGCATTATGAGGGTGGGCTGCATTGACTGCTAAGTGAACCTCTGCAGAATTTACTCCAGCAGCAGATAGAATTAATTTGTTACGGATTTAGGAGTTCCTGTTATGACATTATCTCTTCGTGATATGTGGAGCATGCTGTTTATATTGAGCTCAATCATCGTGGAAGGATGTTTTGACTGAATAGAGGGAGCGCTGTACAATTAACAGAGGAAAAGGGAGTTGGGGGGGGGAAAAAGGCTTTAGGCATGGGATAAAATACCAGTAGTGGATTTCATGTAACCTCATGTATGTTTGTCTTTTATTTCTTCCTTCATGATTATAAAAAATTCTCTTCAAGGTTCAGGTCTACAGAAGTTTAATGTCAATCTGGGATGAGGTAACGGAGAAGGTGTTGCTTTACCCCCTTTACCAGCTGTATCTGAATTCTACAGTGCACCTGATAGAGTGAGGACTTTGAGCCTTACTTTGCTAGGTGTTCCCCACCATACCTTTGCAAAGCTTTTCTTAAAGCTGTGTTTTGCTTACTTGCATCTGGCTTCTGAATCTGTGCTTATCCCACTGGACTTCTCATGAATGCAGTTTTACCTGTGGATGTAAGCAGAAGCTGTGAAATGCTTCCAAAGCAACAAGTTCTTTGATTCAAACAGGATGATGATGCCCTTCTCTAGAGAACTAATAAGATCTTTGTGCACAGTTCCCCTAATGATCTTAGAGGAAGAACTGTTAGAACACTATAATGTAAAAAGCTTCCTTCCTGAGAAGTCATATAGATTAAAAGTGCTCAGAAGAACTTTCTTTCTGAGGCCATTAGACCTAAATGCTTTTGGCAAGTTAAGTCCAAGTCTGCATTTATATATAATTAATCATGTATGTGGGCTTGACTAGGATAAATGCTAGATATTATTTCTTGTATGGTTTATCTTTTTCTTCTATTTTAAAGCAAAGCCACTGCAGAGAGTGCACAGGCAGTGTATGGCTGTAGTATCTGCAAGCATTCAGTTTTACATGGTGCAGTGCCTTGTTTTGGTGGAATAATATGCTCTGCATAGCTTTTTAAAACACATTGTGGGAATGACAACAGATGCAAGAAGGCATGCCTTAATCTTGGAGCAGAAGGAGAAACTCTTCCAGAACTTGGGAGCAGGATGAGTATTTATGTGCCAGGATGAGACCAGTCCCTTTAAAGATTCTTTCCTCCATAGGAAAAACAAATTTTTTGTCCTTGATCTGCTGTGCTAGAACCAGTGTGATGACAGCCTTCATCTGAGGTGTGTGCCCTTGTTCTTGATCTGTCCCATTTCAGGATTCGCAGATGGTAATAGAAGCCTTTAAATCAGGCTTTGAGCCTCCAGGAGATGTTGACTTCGAGGACTTCACTCAGCCCATGAAGCGCACTGTCTCCGAATCCAGCCTTTCCAACTCCAGGGGGGATGGGAAGTACGAGCCGAAGTTTGGTGGCAAATCCAAGGGCAAGTTATGGCCATTCATCAAGAAAAATAAGGTACTGACCTGCAAACACGAGGTTTGTGTTAGCTAGTATGCGTGTAGTCAATAGGCACTGTTTTATCTAGAGATCTGGGCAATTGCAGATTTTAAAGAGCACTTTAGTTTCAGAAAGTTAATGACTGATGTCTTAGTATGGTGTTCTGTTGTAGCCTTTGGTTACTTAAGGTTTTTTTTAATATATCTTTGAAGTTTTTTTGTTGTAATTTCTTTAATTATGTTGCAGTTTTTATATTAATTTAATTGTCACGTCTTTGCCATGGTCCATTTCTGTTCCTAACTCAGAAGGAATTGTGCACCACTTACTTGGTGTCACGTGTGCTAACTAACACTGTTACTTCAATGTGTCATTACTGTTTTGACACTTCTAAAACTCTCTGACTTTTCATTTGTGTGACCTCCTCAGTCTGTGCCTCGGGTTCTGCAGTTGGGTGGTGGGAAGCAAGGAATTGCTGCGGTTCTTTCTTCTGTAGCATAACTAATGGAGCACAGCTAACTGAGCAGTTGACTTTGTAAAGACCACGTTAACTTACGTATCCATCAAACCTTTTTCATTTCACTGTCATATTCTACACCATAATGCATGGCACCGTACACCTGAGGGTAGCAGAATGTGTCAGGATGACTGCGCTGTGTCAGTTTGCAGAAACACTGATGGAAGCCCAGAGCAGCTTCACATTTCGATCTCACCCTTGCTCTGACCCTTATCAAACCACTTTTACTGACCACATTGATAGTCCAAAAGCCTACTTGATCAAAATGGGTCGTTCCTCTTGCTGGTAGAAGAGAGAAGTTGGCTGTCTGGTGCTTACATTAGTGTAGCCAGAAGCAAAAAACAAAAATGACCAACTCCTGAGCAAATCTGTAGCGTTTGTAGAAGTGAAGTTTGATGCACGTTGCTGAGGTATGATCTGAAAGCAGGAAGGAATGTGGTTTGTTGTTTTCCAGATAATAGAAACGCTACTGGGCACTAAGGTACCTTCATTATCTGATCCATTTAAATGCAGGTATTTGTAAGCTCTATCCATTTGCATTATTCCGAGTTGTCCACAGAGCAGAGCAGGGCAGTTTGTAGGATAGCACTGCATGGAAGAGTCTGCATGAGCTTCCCGTCGAAACGCTTTGTTACTCTTCTGTTGCATCACTTACTAAAAACTTCAATTTTATCATACCTTCATTTAACACAACTCTAAATACTTCTCCCCCCACTTCTTGAACCATGGCCTTTAATATTTAATTATTTAATTGTTTTTTCTCTGAATTTCAAATATTGGTTTTGATGCTTATTTTCGTTTTGTGTTTTATCTTTTTATTTTGATTTTATTCTGTCACTTCTCCATCTCTTATACGTAGCTTATGTCCCTTTTAACATCCCCCCATCAGCCCCCTCCTCCTCCCCCTGCCTCTGCCTCACCCTCTGCTGTTCCCAACGGCCCCCAGTCTCCCAAGCAGCAAAAGGAACCCCTCTCCCATCGCTTCAACGAGTTCATGACCTCCAAACCCAAAATCCACTGCTTCAGGAGCCTAAAGCGCGGGGTAAGTTCTCCTCTGGATACCTCTCTCTTTCTTTCTTTTCTTCCTATCTGGCGCTTTTATATTGCACGTTCTGTTATGTAAGAACTTGTTTTGTTTGGTGGATGAGTCCATTGTGTTTTAACATGCAGACAAATCCAAGGAATTGTGAAGTCATTTGCAGTCAAAAATCCCACGGCGAAACCACAAAAAAAGTTTCTGATAGAAGTTACCCTAAGTTCCTTATGTTTGGAAGGAGGGAGAATTTTCCAATGCTTAGAAAGAGCAGCTGAACTCGAAGCAATATTCACATACAAGTCACAAGCCATGAATTTAGCAGCTCTGCATGCACCGCTGTTCAGAATTGTAGATCTTTTTCTGGCATTTCCTATGAAGTCAACAGATTTCTTTGGTGCCTGACCTGACTTTCACTTCCCTGTGCTATGGTGCACGTGGTTCAAAATTACATCCTGTGTGCGGAGCTGATGGTCAGACAGACATGCTCTGAAACACAGGTGGGAGGTTTAGAGGGATTGGGGTTGGAGCCTTTCCTGCCAGCAGCTGGAGCAGCGAGCTGGGTGCTGCTGCATTGTAGAGAGGCTGGAGGCTGACCTGGGGGACCCACCTGAGTGTAGATGGAGCTAAATCAGCTTCTTGTGACACAACACTGCAAGTCCACCATACTTTTTTCCCTGAAATAAAGCAAAGAATGTTTTCTTCTTCTTGCAAGCCCATATGTGGCACAGCTGTACTCAGAAGTTGCTCTGAGGTTTGGGTCCTTAAAAGTATTGTTGAAAAAAATTACAGGAAGGAGACACAACTGTGCAGCGCCTTACAGCCTGCACTGAAAAACACCTTTCAACGTTGAGGAAGTGCAACTGTTTAAAAAAGCCCAAATTCTGCTCCAGGGACTGCAGTGACATTTAGGAAAGAGGACTGGAGTTGTTTAACAGTAGAGCTGCTTTCAGTGGGACTTCAGTGCTTAGTCACAGAGAATTGAAAACACTGCTGCAAACAGTATTTTGTCTCATCTGGTTACAGACAGTAAATTTAAAGAAAAAAAGTTCTTTTTTTTTTTAATGTAGGGCAGTTTTCAGTTCTTTTCTAAGGAACTTCCATTTCATGATGTATTCAGTGTAGGATCCAAAAATTCCCATTTCTGATGCTTTCTGGTGGGGATGCGGCTGGTTTCTAAGTTGTCCTGAGGAGGTTTGGTAAATGCCTTCTCCCCTCAGTTGCATTTTGGTTCACAGCATCTCTTCTTTTAAGCTTCTAAGGACTGGGGAATTGCCTTTCCATCCTGCTTCTATAGCAGCAGGTGCCTCTGCACTGCTTGGAGGGGCTGGCTGCTGGCAGCCCTGTTTGTGTGGGGCAGCACTGAGGCACGTGGAGAGAAAGGCACTGCTGGAGGTGGGAGCTGAGCCTGTGACCCAGTCCTCCAGAAGTGCCATTCACTGAACTGATTATTTAAAATAATGCTGAATATTTCCAGTTCAGTCTAAAAATACCAGCTTATAGTTCCTTGGGCAATGCATGAGCTTGCATTTCAAATGTACTAACTCTTATTTATTATTTGGCCTCATAAGCAGTTATGACTTTTAATGTTTGCCTGAAAAAGTGACATAATATAATGTGCTGTCTGAGAAGTCTAAGCCAGTCTTAGAGATGCTTTGTACTGTGTTACTTTTAGTTGGTTCGTTTGAGAAGTGAAATAATGAGAACAATTTCCTCTAGCTTTCTCTGCAATCCTTCTAATTTCTGCTGACAAGTTCATTAAAAATGCAAAAAGGAAGGCTGTTACTAAATCTTCATTTGAACCTTTTTCTCTATGTTCTTCTCTTTCATTTCCTTCCCCTGTTAGCTACCAGGATGTTTGTATGTAAACAGTTTTAGTGCCTGACTCATCCAACAGAGTTGGAGGCCAGTGTTCAGATCATCGTGGCATTTTCCAGAGGGACGAATTCAGGCCGCTTGGTTCATCTAGAAGCATGGAGGAGGAGAGGCTGCTGAGAGCTGGCAGCTCGTTCTGTCTGCTCTGAGAACGCTGCTGATGCCTCATAGGTCCTTGGTGATTTTTGTTACACGCAGCGTCAGACTGAAAGGTCATGGAAGCGCTTAATGACCTCCGAAAACAAAATTCTAACCAGACGCACCCCAATCTCATTTATTTGCCAGATGAGAAATGAGTTATTGTAATTTGTCTGATGTGGCCCTCGTTATGCTCAGTGCAGCTGCATAATATCGTTAATTCCGCTTTTACAATATTACTTTTGATAAGATTTCCTTTCCTCGGTTCCTCTCCATCTCGTTGTCCCTCTGCCAGATCCGAGAACATCTGAGTTTTGTTCACGAGCAGTAATGTTGCTAATGCTGCACTGAGATCTTAGCAAAGAAATGAGAGAGGAGGAGGTAGGGAGGAGCTGTCTGTGCAGAAGAGTATTTGATCTGTACAGGAATACATTAGCAAAGCAACTTTTGGGAAGGTCGTGCAGGGAGCCAACAGAACAGTACAACGTAATGGACGTTTGGCTTTGACACAGAACAATTTCATTTGCTCTGAATATTGCCTCTGTGCTGGTTTTGTTCACCCAAACACCTTGCAGTACAGGTGGCCATAGGAGATTTGAAGTACTTCAGTAATTAAGATGATTTTAGATGGTTCAAACAAACTGTCAAGAAGAGGGTCCTTCCTGGCTTTGCTGACAGTCTGAGCTGCCTGCAAAAGGCTGTGTAACAATTCAGAGGACATGGGATCATGCTCCTTTCTGTCCCTGGTTTAAGGAAGAGGAGCGTGGCAAGGAAGTACCTCATGGGAGCACAACTAACAGATAACAGAAGTGTAATGGGACGAAAACAGCAGAACCACCCGCTGTAACGTCCTGGGAATGTGAGGCAGTGATCCCCATACGGTTCCTCCATAAGTCCTTTGGAGGTGGCAGTGAGTGGCAGAGTGTTCCAGTGATTTCCTTCCAAGTTTTGGTTTAGCATCTTCTGTTACATTTGGAAAGAGAGATTACAAAGCTAAAGTGGACAAGGCACTGGTGACTGTTGAGTTGTGTGTGTAACATTATGTCCTGCAATCTGCCTTCACTTTTGCTCTCAATCTAAAAATCCATTGAGTTTCGTTTCCAGGAAAGGAAGCAGATAACTGAACGGCAGATGTGAGGCTAAAGCACCAACTGCAGTATCAGTGAGCACTGCCAGTGTGAAATCCTGGTCTGTCTGAAAGAAAAACAACAGACCTTACATTGGTGCTGACACTTGTCAGTGTCTGTGGTTTTCTAATCATGTTCTCCTATTTTCATCAGACTTACTTTCTTCTAACCCCAAAAGCAGAAATGTCCATTACGAGGAATCATTAAGATCCATTACAGTGCTTACAGAAGAGCTGAGCTGAAAGAGGGGAAAGTCTACACAAGGGTTTTGTTTTTTTTTTTTACTGTTTCTAATAACTCTTTAATTAAAAAAAAAAAGTCAGTATTTAAAATCAGCTCTGCCTTTTTAGGGAAGTAAAATCCAGAGGAGTACAAAAATGAGGAACCACTTACATAAGTCATAATTTCATTTATGCTTGCTCTGCTCTTTCTAATTCCATTTTGAGGACAAAGGAAACATAGTATTCTGCTAGTTGAAATTAACTTTGTGTTTTTCCTTTATTGCTACACCAGCAGTAACATCAGCACCTTTATTTAAAGAGCAATACTTCTCAACTAACCAAATCCAGGGTAGAACTTACACCCTTGAGTACATTGAGCTGAGCTGCTTCATGTCATCACTGGGACACTGGGCTGTGCTCAAACAGGAGGTGGCTCTGGGAGCAGAAGCACAGATGCTGCTGTCATTGCCCACACAGCCCCATAGGGTCCAATGGAGGGATTTTTGTGGTTTCCTTTATAAGTGGAAGTTGTTGACTTCATTACAGTGTAACTTCATTTCCCTTGCATCAGTTAACGTTTTCCCTTTCCATCCTGTCTCATTTCTGTGATGCACTGTGCACTTTCTCCTGACACCTGTAGCCCTGCCCAGGGACCACGACCTGGTTGTGCTGTGATTGTGCAGAAACACCAACCAAACCACACCAGCTCCTCACCTGCTGTGTTCCCTGCCCTAGGGAATGCTCCGTGCTGTCGTGCAAGTGTGTGTGTGCCAGAACAGCGGGCCTGGGGCGGGTGGGCTCAGGAAAACCAAGGTTATTTTAGCAGAGAGATTTGATCTGGCATGGCATGTTTAAGCTAGCCTTTAAGAATATGAGATCTAAGTGTTATAAAAGTGCTGAACTCGATTAATGCTCTCAGAGCATCTAGCAAGTTTCCACTTTGCACTTAAAGGCTGTTAAACACCGAGCTGTCTTTTGCTGTAGAAGCAGTAAACACGGGTGCTGTGCTGGTCTCCACCGTAACGCATGTGTTTTCTCTTGCTGACTCACCAGCAGACACAGTCTTTGTATATTCACAAAGAACTCATGAAGAGGACTTTAGGGACACCCACGTGTGCCATTGAGGCTAGGGAATACGTTGTAAGTCCACGTATGGTGTGATCAGCCCATACCGTTGCTGCACAGTCGCTAACCCCACTTACAACGCCCCGAGAGTGTGCTGTGGAAATGTGCTTGGTGGGAAAGAAACTGCAGGCTTGGTGAGAGGCGAGCTGCAGCCGACTGTGTTACGTGCAGGAGAGACTTGTCTGCTAGGCCTGGAAATGCTGAAATTCACACTCCTCTTGCAGCCGTTTAAAGTGTGCTTGGCTGTCAAACAAATAGAAAACTCAAAATTATATTCTGTATTTGTTAGCTTGTAAGCTGAGCTGCTTTTACAGCAAATTTCTTCTACGTAGAAGTGCTCCAGGGGGGTTCCTTGCATTTATTCCAAATTTCTGAATGCGGTTTGAGCATCGTGAGCCACCCCCTTGTATGAGCTGCAGGAACACATCCCTGCTGTGGTGGCAGAGCACTCTGCGAGGCTTTGAGAGACTTCCCTGAGCTCTCTGTGACAGTGACAGCCCATGGGATCGATGCTGGCGACCTCTAAATCTGATACCCAGCGAAAGCATTGCAGGGGGTGGATTGCTGCAGGAGCACTGAGAGAAATTTACCTTTGGGCTGGCTGGAAATGCAGTGATTTATTTCAACCCCGATTTCTGTAAGTGAGGTTAGTGTCTGTCTGTGACTGTCCAATAACACATGGACTTGCTGGCTTTCATGCTTTCTCATGTGTTATTGAAGCTTGTGGCTCTTAGGCTCTTCATTTTTTCCCTGCAAGACTTGTTCTAAATTGGCAGCTTGAAACAGATTTGCTCATTTTGTAGCAAAGTGATTTATTTGATCGTTTTGAGGGGGAAAAACGCTCCATTTCCAGGAGCTGTGAGCAAGTTTATCACTGTGAAAACCCAACAGAATGGGCAAAAGCAGTTATTCAGTGAATGTTTAATGCAGATTTACTTTCAGTCTGCTTATATTTGTTGATAGAAATTGAATCACTGTCATGTAAAATTATCAATGCGTTTCAGAAATGGAAAGCTGGGAATATGACTTATTTCAGCATTTCATTGTCTGTGATCTGCTTTACTCGTGATGGCTGTAACAATCCCTGACGTTCTCTTTGGAAATGCTCTTAATAAGTTCTCTATTTTTGTCGTACCTAATTAACAGTGCAAGAATTGGGCATACAATGTGTATAATCTCTGAAATTTGCTGAATTTACAGCAGAATAGTCGTGATGCAGATGGTTCCCTGCAGTAGTGCAGTGCCTTTAGACCTAGTGTTTAGACATTAGCGCATGTAGCATACATCCGTGCCTCTATAGAGTGCTTCATAGGTAAATATTTCCTCTGCACCATCAGTCCTGTCTGTATATATGTAGGATCTCAGTTTGTGCTGATCATGTCTATGCTAAAGTTCACAGGAATGCTAAAGGTGATATGCAAACAAAAGCTGCCTGCACCGAATATCTTCCACATTATATTTTAGCTCATTCTCTCCTCCTCCTGCGATTCTTCTCTCAAATTGATTGGTTTGGTTTGGTTTTTCAATGGCCTCGTAGCTAAGAGAGCAAATTTCTTTACAGCATTGTCATTATTGAGCGTTTCTGTGCTGATAGACTGAACTTCAGAGGGAAGCTGAACTGCTGCATTGTCACGTGATGTTTCAGTGCCGATGGAATAGTTCGCTATTAATTTTAAGGCTATACATTATCCTGGAATTATTGACATGTATTACTGCATAAATTCTGCTAGCTAATGACAATGGTATTTGAAAATTGAGTGTTTCTTGAGCAGGCTGTCAAAAACATCACAGGTGTCGAGCCGCCTTTATTTTAAATCCATCTCAAAAGAAGTCTTGCTAAAAACGGAGCATCTGTTTGTGAGAGCTCTGTATCCAGGAGCTGTCAGTGCTGCTATTAGAGAACTCTCGAATGGCAAGGTGTGCAGAGGTCTGACAACAGATTATGGCCTGGGGCAAGAGATGTTTCCCCATTTTCACGTGTCAGCTGTCTTTGACACAGAGCACATGCATTTATGCATTTATGCATTTGGAAGCTCGTTGCACACCAGCCCACAGAGCTGGTAGCACAGTCGCAGCGAGGACTGCTGGAAGCCAGGGCGCAGTTTTCATTCCCCCTTTAGTCTGGTTTTGTACCTTGAGCAGCAGTTAGCTGGTGCTCCTTGGGACGGAGCAGAAAGGCACTGGTAGGCTCCAGTCTCTTGGAGATAACATAACTGACATCTTCCAGCACTGGAAGAGAGCTTTGGTAGTTTTGGTGGTGTACTCTCTGAGCACATTTGTTCACCTTTCAGTTGGAGGCCCTCCAGCACTGCTCAGAACCCAACGTGTAAGTGATGTAGCACAGAGGCAAGCTGTGCTGCTGTGCAGGTTATTTTTTTTAATGTACACCTCTCATTTTGCACTCTCTTCCTTTCCCAGATTAGCCAAAAGATAATGTTTTAGCTCTGCACCAGGGGATGTGCTAACCTTTGAGGCCTGGATCATGTATATCATTTAAGTAGCTTGAATAACGTCTTGCTGTGCTGCCATAGAATCAATTTGGTGTGAAGAGATTTTTTTTTCCCCCTTATTCTTGGTCCTGACCTTGTCTGACCGTGTGGCCAAAATAAGTTTGAGATAAGTATCTGTATGAATTGTTTAAGAACACCAAATGGCTTAAGTGACTGCCCGGAAAGCATTGTGTGCAGCAGCGCAGGTAATTTGGGAGCACAGTCATTTGGACACACGCCTGTGAGCTGGGCTTTGTCTTCTGGAATGAGCAGAGGCCCCAGCAAGCCGTTAGCAGCAGGAGCAGTGCCATACCTCTCCCTACCTGCAGCTAGGTGCTGTCCTTCCCTGCTCCTGCACAAAGGGGCCGATGCTCGTGACTGCATTTCAGCACGTGTTCGATCTGAAGTGACTTGCACACATTGACAGCTGTTCTGTTCTGCAATTCAAAACTCAACGAGGAAATCCCTCTCGTAGCAGCAGTACTGAGGCAGCCCAGGCAGAGCTCTGCCCGCAGTGCAGAAGCACACAGGCAGCGCTCCCAGCTCTGCTCCAGGCGAGGCCATGGCAGCTGCCCAGTGCTGCTGGGCCCTCTTGTGAACTTTTGCACAGATCTGTCAGTGTTACCCATCCAGCGAGGGGAATGTGTGTCGTGTTATTGGAACAGCACTCTGAAAAGTTCCTCTTCTACTGATGCTCTGTTGTTTTTTTTTCTCTTTCCCCCCCACCCTGTATCTCTCCATTTTTTACATGAAGCTTTCTCTCAAGCTGGTAAGCACATTTTCAGCATGCCTGTCCTGTGTTTTAATCACAACTCTGTGTGTGTTTGAATGTGCACTGTGCCACGTGTGACATGACACTGAAATTGTTAATTCGTTTCTTCTTTGTTTGCTTTTTTGCTGTTTATCAGATAACTCTGAATACACAGGTCTGGAGTCTAATAGAGGTGATCGAAACTCAGTCTTTCTAATAAGCTGCTAAAAAATTAATTCTAATACATAGTTTAGCTTTCATTTTTATAATCTAGGGCTATGAAAATGTAGAAAAACAGTATCAAGTAATTCTGTTACTGTGTAAGTATAAATTGAGACATTAAAAGAAATCAAGATCTGCTTGGACTTTTTCCATAGAGAAATGCATGTATTTGGTGTGACTGTAACATAGCCACAGAGTTTGCTTTCTGTGTCCAGGTGTTTACTGGCAATCTGCACCATGGTCGCCTACATTTTACAGCCCTATGTAGTCCTTCAGAATAACTAATAATAATTAAAATTCTGTAAACCGTAACCAACAAGGTTAACTCAGTCTGATTTGAATTTGCAAATGCTGTTGTATATACATGTGCCCCAAATTCGATCTCGGATGCAGCTGGGAAGGTTGCTTGAGCTACGGTAAGGCAACGTGTTACTGAGTTGGAAAGGGGACGGGTGGACCTATTTGGGAAAGCAAATTGGGCTGAAGTTGGTATTGCAGGCACTGTGCTGCTTGAGATGTGCCACACCTCAGTATGTCGCTGGTAGATCGTTGCTGTTCCTTTGCCCCTTGTGATTCCAGGGGGAGCTCAGCTGTTCTGCCCCAGTTCATGCATGAATTCCAGAGCCACAGCGCCTGGTGACAGAGGGCTTCAGAGGAACTGCAGCTCCTTAATTGCATTAGCTTGGAAGTTTTCTTTTTCCTCACCGGTCACTGCCTTAGTTGCTCCTTCCCTGTTAACCCTCCCTACATACACGTTGTCCATGGATTTATCATCTTGGACCTGTTCCTAACAGCTTGTTCTGAGGAGAGCTGTGTGCCCTGGAAGCTACCTGGGGTAGCTGTGGTGTGCCTGCAGAGGTTTGGGGCCCTACCACTGCCCTGCACAGCGCAGTCACTCATTGCTCTTCATTTGCAGTACTGCACTTGTGAAGACCTGTGGTAGAAGTGGGGAATGGTGGAAACCTCTGGCTCACTTGGAAACCTTCTTCTTCTGGCTGTTGCCATCCACTGACCTATTAGTCCCAAGTGTTTACACCAGGAATTTCCACTTGTTTTTGTGTAGTGTAGCTGAGCTAAGCCTTCACATGTGTAGGAATATATCCTCCCCAAACAAACAGCTGACCTGGCCTTCCCCCAAGAATTGCACAAATCAAGATGATGTGTATTTCTAGAAAACATGTGCAATGTTTACAGCTTGAGAGATGATTCCAGCATCTTTTGCTTGAAAGCATGAAATGTGCCTACCATGTGCAAAAGTTGTTCCTTGCCTCTTCCTGCTGGAGGAGGACCTGTAGCTGCTGTTCAGATGGGAAGTTACCAAGCATGGAATGAAGTCTCTGTGAGTTTACCCAGTCTCAGGCATGCATTTCTACACAACACTGCTGCTTTGGTCTGAAGCATTGTGGGCACAAAAACTGAATTTAATGTGGCCGAGAGCTTTCAATTGAAATGAAGTATAGAAAAGGAAGAGCTTTTCCAAATTGCTTTGAATACATCTGGTATAACTGAGGATGTTTTCAAGCATCTCTTTCTCTTCTGGATAGAATTGAAGAGAATATTTTATGTAGTCTTTCTGTTAACTGCTCATTTATTTACAAACCTACATCCAGACGCTTTGCCTTAAAAAGATAGGTATGGGTTTGCATGCAGGCTGACTGTAAAATATACTAAAACAGCCTAATTTGATGTGGGAGTTACTGCAAAGCAAGTGCTGCCAGCATTGAAAATGAATTAAAACAGAAATCTCCTGTGCCACGCACAGCAATGTAATTCAGAACTCTCAGGGCTGCACGTGGCTACTGATTTACAATTAGCTTAACTTGGTTCTTGCATTGTGTTAGATTTGCTCTCCCTTTGTCTCACAGAATGGACACTGATGTGTGTTGTTACGCACGCGGTCAGGCTGAGAGGCGTGTGTTCGTTCTTACTGAACATGAATATGGCAGCATTTTGGTTACACCAACCTGTTCTGCTTTATTGAAATTAAACAGGAGGAGGGGCAGGAGGTGAGCTGTGTGGAGTTGTCCTCCATCCCTCTGACACCCACCTGCCTCCGTTATAAACAGCATGTTCTGCAAATGCAGAAGAAAGAGTGCGCCTTCAGCACGGAACTGGAGGGGCCTCGTGGGCAGTCTGTGCAAAGTGTCCCCTAAATCACTTTCCCCTCAGAGAGAGATTTGGCATTTCAGTAGAACTGAAGTTTCAGCGTGGCTCGCAGCCTTGCAGTAAGCGGATGGGCTGTTGAGTTTGGGTGCTCAGCTTTGTATTTTGTCCCTTTCTTTTACACATATGCCAGTACTTCTGCTTAGAAATGGGACGTGAAACAAGTGAACACCAAGACATGAGAAATGTGCAAATTCTAGATTGTGTACAAGACCTTCGTTCTTTTGTGATTCAACTAGTTGCAAGTCTACCTGCTACCTGCTACTCTATAAAATAGAGTAATCAGAGATGAAGCATAGGGACAGTAATAATTGAAAATCAGACAAACACCTTGAGAACTAAGAACTTCAACCACTTCCATCAAACCAGGCTGTTGCATTAGTTTCACAAAAACAAGGTCAAATATCCCACTAGTTTCATTTTTGCTCCTCTTTTTTTAATGTTTCAATTTAAAAAAATATATAACAAATATAAGCAGTTTTATATACTTTATGTGTGGCCCAAGACAATTCTGTTTCACTCAGTGTGGCCCAGGCAAGCCAGAAGGTTGGACACCCATGAGTGAGAGCAGGCCAGCAATTAACAGTGTGCTCAAGAAGCATGATTATGACACAGGAGTAGAAGCTAGCAACTGCTTTCAGGGGGATGCTGTGTCTAGGGGAGTAGGGCAAAGCAGGAAAAATTAGCTTTCCATGGAATGAGATCCTGTTAAGTAAAATCTGGTGTTAGCTATGGTTAAAGGTAGATTCTCAGCTTTGCCACTGAATTCCTGCGTTCTTCCTGATCTCCCTTTAGCCTCTTGGTAAGGAAGTGGTCCTGGGCTTGTTTCTTAGGCATTCTGATTCCTAACCATTTGGGGGCTGATAACTCATAGCACAAATGATAACAATGCTTCAGACCATTGTGATTGCTTCACAGATTTGTGAGCTATTTTCTAAATGTAGTCTTGAAGGATTCGTGTAGGCTCTGATCGTTTATTTTTTTCCCCCTCCATTCCACTCTGCAGGGAGCTGGGCCAGAGGACTTCAGCAATCTCCCACCTGAACAAAGAAGAAAGAAACTTCAGCAAAAAGTCGATGAGCTGAACAAAGACATTCAGAAGGAGATGGATCAAAGGTAAGCCAACTCCTGCAGTGGAAAACGAAGTAGATCAACTGAAACAACTGAAACATGGGAACTGATAAAAATAAGGTTCTGGTGTTTTCTAAGGTGCTGTTCCAAGAGAAGACACAGAGTTTGTTTATTGCTAAAAACATCTTCTGCAATCGGTTATTTAATTTTGGCTGATGTAAGTCAGAGCACCCTTGCAGGGAAGTAGCAGTCTAGTCATGAGCAAGACGAAGATTGCTGTTGGATACACAGATATTTTTGTGTGTGTGATGTGATCTGTTGCTGATGAATCAGGTGTGATGGTGGGGGGCTGTTTGCTTGTTGTTTGATTGGTTCTAGTAATTACAGGATGTAAACATGGTCTGAATCAGGGTTACAGTCATAAACCTCTCAACACCAAGCAGATCACCTGCAAATGTTTGATGGGCAAATGTGATCGAGGGTGTATGCCAGCAAATGAGGCTGTTGTGAGCTTGCTAATGCCCAAAGTGCTGATTGTTTGGTGTATATCTTAAGACTCTGATCTGTAGCATACATTTCCTGGGAGCTGGAAATACGAGTCCAGTGCTTTTGTGGATGCTTTTTCTACAAGGCTTCGTTTATCACTGTGCTTGAGAACAAGACCATTTTAGTTACACGCTTTCTATTGATTCTGGCAGCTTATATTTGTTGCTTTCAGTGTTTGTTCACATTCTGGCTCCTGCAATCGCATTAAAAATTCAGCACACAAAAAAGCAGAACTTTTCTTTCCAGAGTGTTTTTAAGACTCAGCCTCACTGCTGTTAGTCCATCCCAAAACAGTGCTTTGCATTTACATGGACGTGCCTGTGTTTTCTGCTAGATTGCTTTGAAGAACCTGTTAATTTTGGTTTGCTGGCAGACTTTTTTCATCGGTGTATTTTGTTTTATTTTCATCACTTATATCATAAATGAGAAAGGAAGTTTGCACATGCTTATTTTACTTTCCATAACTTTTCCTTCTGTGGTAACTGCATTTCTTTCTGCACAGATTTACCCTTCTGTATTGATTCTGAGGTAACCCAGTGTTAAAATCTGATATGAAATCTGAGTAGAATTACCCTATTTTAAAATGAGCATAGTATGCGATTGGGGAATTAACAGCAGCAGTTAAGTAGGGGTTAAAGAGCAGTAATCATCGTGACTCACATGTTTGCAATATTGTCCCTTAGGGTTTCAACCACAGAGCAGTCCCACTTCCTTGCCACCCACACTTTTTCTCATTTTCTCTGCACAAAGCAAAAGCAGGCACAGGATTGCAATTGTCAGGAGTTTGGTGGGAAATTCCAAAATATAAAGAGCGCTAACTTGAGTCGTGGGACTGCCATTAACCTTGTTCCCCCCGAGAAATGCCTAGAGAAAAGCTGAATGGCTGTGGCAGAGATACAGGAAATCAGCTCATAAGTGCATCCATCTCTAAGCTCTGAAACGCTCATCGTGCAGATAACTTCTCCCTGAAGTTCAACTTGCTTCAGGTCAAAGGCAGCGCGTTGCTGGCAATGAAAGCTCCGCAGGCTTCCCTAAGGGATCTGATGCATGTATTGTATCAGCATTGGTCCTGTGGTACTGCAATCATCGTAGTGGGCCCTAATATTAACATCTCTGAAACCGTAGGCATTTGGCATCTGGGTTGATATGAAACACAGCCCCCAGAAACAGTCTGGTAAAAATACAGCGTAGCTTAACAGGATGCGGGGTCGCGTTATGTGGGCCAAGGTCCATCTGTTGCTGCGCTGCGACAAATGCAAACCATCTGGATTCAGCTTCCTTTCAAGCAGTGTGAAATAAATATCTTACAAACTATCAGCTTTGCAAAAGGCAAAATGCAACAGGCAGGGTGAGAGATTCTGGTTATCACTCCATTTCTGTTACTGTTATGTCTGCATTCAGCTCTTTGTCCCAGTTGCTCAATTGGATTTCAGCCCACGATGGAGAAGAATGATGCAACTGTTTCTCTGTCTCCCCCCAAAACTGGGATGATATTCATTTAGGAACTTTTATTTTTCTTCTGTCTCTCAGAGATGCCTTAACGAAAATGAAAGACGTGTATATCAAGAACCCTCAGATGGGAGACGCAGCGAGCGTGGACCACAGATTATCAGAACTTGAACAGAACATTGAAAAGCTACGATTAGAAGTGCAGAAATTTGAGGTATGGGGAGGGATGTAGATGTGATGTTGTTCTCAATGTGTACACATATCTTTGATGAAAAGTAGCTCAGCGTATGCATGCTTCTAAGTAGATGCTTCCCTGCTTTTCCAGATAGAAAGAAAATGCTTCAATCCATTTTTGTGTATGGAGAAGTGCTACTTAATCACTTACATTAATTGAGATCTTTGGGCCTATTTCTGTAACATAAATAAGCACCGTTGCTTGTGGTTGTCAGCCAACAGCTGTGCTCTTTAAATTGCCCAGAAATCTATGCCAAGTAGAGGAGGAGATAAAATGCAGGACTCTCTAGACTGCCCAGAGAGGTTCAGATACTTGCTTAAATTATGACAATCATCAGACTACAGATGAATGTGGAGAATTGGAGGAATGTAAGTGGGAAACACCATTCAAAGTCTAACAGCAAGACAGAAGCCATCAGATGATGTTTAAGGAACAGTAACATTAACAGGAAGCTTCTTAGAGATGCAGAACCTCAAAAGCATGAAGCAGTATTTGGAACACGAGGATCCATTAGAAATGTATCCCGTTGCAATTAACACCAGAGGGATTATAGGACTGAGGGAAGGCTGCACTCTATGAGCTGGGCCACAAACACGAAGATGTACAGCCTGCTCACGTTGTTCCTTACAGTCATTTGTTTTACTATCGATTGCTTGCTTACCCATTTGAAAGCCTCCCCAGCTTTTCTCCTGCTATTACCGAGGCTACCGTGAGCTGCTGCACGTCTTACTTCATTGTGTACTTCATTCTTCACTGTGACTGGAGGAGCAGTTCTGTCCTGTAGTGAACATAAGCTCCAGTGACGTGACGCTGCTGCTTTTCACTGGCAGGGCTGGCTGGCCGAGGTGGAGGGCAGGTTGCCCTCGCGGACGGAGCAGGCGCGGCGGCAGAGCGGGCTGTATGAAGCCCAGAACACTTCAGCAGTGAACAGCTGTGCACAGGACCGCGAGAGGTACAGTATCTGTACAGAGCTGCCTTCTTTGGGCTGCTAACTGAACTTGCTTGCTTTAGCTGCAGCACCGGGAAAGCTTGCTCTGCCGTATTCAGGACTGTGTGAGCAGGCTGAAGGCAGGGGCTCTGTGATGAGTTTTGCATACTAGTTTTAGTCTTACAGAATATTCCAACTTCATGAGCTGGTTTTCTAAGTATAATGGCCACTGCAGTCACTGCTGTGAAGGCAAGTGTGATAGGTTCTTTTTATTATGGAGAGAAAAAAGACCATTGCAGTGCAACAGCTGCTAATGGTAACAGCCTGTCCTGACCGTTCTGTGGAATTGCTGAGCTGCTCCAGCTGGAGTTGCTCACCTTGCCTCGAGGGCTGGGTAAACAAGCCACTCTCCCTGCTCCTGAGGCTGGTTGCTATAGTTGCTCTGTATTTTCCTCTCTTGAGCAGCCCAGATGGCAGTTACACAGAGGAGCAAAGTCAGGAGACTGAGATGAAAGTACCTGCAACAGATTTTGACGATGAATTTGACGATGAAGAACCACTACCAACCATAGGAACATGTAAAGCTCTCTATACGTTTGAAGGTATCATTCAGTCTTTACTCTTCTTATTGCTTTGTTTGCTTCCTATGACAAGTGGGAAACCTTCATTTAACCTCTGCAGCACTTAAATAGACAAAGGAGTGAGTGAGGCTTTGGCGCTATTCTGTTTTCTGGTGGCTCTGGGGCAGGGATTTGTCTTGCATTTCGCAGGGCTTCTGCAAGAAGAGGAGCCAAATCTAGAGCAGTGCATCCTTACAGTGTAGAGAGAAATAGTGAGGGAATAAAATTGTTTTCTGTGTTGTGCACTTCATCCCTTCTGTGTACTTCATCCCATTCTTACTGAAGGTTCCTATGAGAATTTTTCAGCTGGGGGGGCTAAGCTTAAGCTGTGTTATCAGCTGAGCATGTTATGGTAGAAAAATGTGTTACATGTTTGGGAGTTCTGCTGTGAGGACCAACTTATATAAAGGTTACATAACTTAGGGTTATGATGCTCAGCTAAGTAAGTTCTTATTAATGTTATATTAATGCCTTACAGTTTTAGCCTGCCTATGGTACTTGAATGTCTGGCCTGCAACCACTGCTTTCCAGTAGAGGAGCTGTAACAGCTGGACATGAGCTACAAGAATATTTGTGAGGTTCAGGTTAATGATAACATGACTTCTTTCTGATGGTGGTGCTGGCATTTCCTATGGCAACTCCTACATCAAGGTCACGTTCCTTCTTAGATTGCAGCCTGTTGTCTCCAGATGCATATATTCTTGTTCACATTCTAGTGATGCAACAAAGGATGCCATGAACATCCCTTACTCCACCCATGGTTCTTACTGTGCAGGGCAGCTTCACATCCTTGTTACTTTGTCTTTCAGGTCAGAATGAAGGAACAATTTCTGTAGCAGAAGGAGAAATGCTGTATGTAATAGAAGAAGACAAAGGTGATGGGTGGACGCGAATCCGAAGGAACGAAGACGAGGAGGGCTATGTCCCCACGTCTTATGTTGAAGTCTATTTGGACAAAAATGCCAAAGGTGCTATGACTTATATTTAATAATATTATTATTACTTTACTTGCTTTCACAGAGATACCCAAGCCTGCAACTTTGCGTTGCATACAGAGCCTTTTAAAAGTCTGTACAGTGCCACAATCTGCGTTATGTCATACATGGACTAATATGGCTTGCTGTACTGCAAAACATGCTTTTTATTGGTCAGAGAAGGCTAGTGTGGTAGAGGGGAAATGCAGCCTTTCCTAGTAAGTGCACGTTCAACTGTCACTGCCATTGCACACCCAGTCTAGGGCAGGAAACACAAAGAAGCCATTTGGAAACATTGCTGGTTTTCCTTACATATCCTGGGGGTATTTCAGACATGTTCACAAGTTTGTCCCAAACTGATCCAGTGCATTGCTATATAGGAAATATTTAGCCTGGTGTTTTGTGTCTCAGCGTGGCAGAGCTTTCAGAGCCTCATGAGTTCTGCGGACCTTTGGAACTGAAACCTGCTCATCATTTAGTTGGTGTGTTTGGAAGGGGAAGCAGAAGTCTTGCCAAAGCCTCTCTACACAGCACTCTGTGATCCTTGATCAATCATTTAAACATCGACGTTAAGGAAAATCTTCATTCTTTCCTGTCTTGATACATTTCAGAAAATGGTCTTTTGGCTGTATTTGCTATTTCAGATGAAGTACAGGTTTTCTGATGGCCCGTAACTAATGGGTCTTCTGCTGAAATGCAGTCAATGGAGGCACTCTGAGCTTAAACTGGATGGTCTTCTGTTTCTCAGTTGCTTTTGACTCCTCCCAAATAGGTGTATTTTGTAAGCAAGCAGTGCATACAGGAGAATACTGGGTAGAATACATGCTAGCATGTAAATACCTGGTAACATAATTCACTGAGAAGTTTTAGGTCTGTTTCAAATTGATATGTTTGAAGTCCACTGTTAAATACTTAATGCATTTCTTTTGCAGTCATTTAATTGTTCAGATCGTTGTGTTTCCTGAACCTTAAAGTTCTTGGTGTGAAACAAACTGCCTTGTCCAATTTAAAAGAAAAGGGAACCATTATCATAGAGGTTTATGGACAGTGGAGAGAGAAGAGAGCTGTCTCTGTAAACAAATGCTGCAGTTTGATCAGTTCACTTTTTCCTGGGTTCAGTATTCAGTGCGTGCCTCATCTGCTGCAGATGGAAGTCTAGGGTCTGATTTTGCCATAGTAGTTTTATGTTTGGCAAATGCAGTCAGCTAAGATGCAAAAGTAAACTCAGCCCCCCTGTCTCCCTTGGTTAACCTTTAAAAGGTGGGTTTGTATTGTATGTTTTCTCTGCTTCACGTTCAGGACAAGGCAGAGAGCACAGAATGAGAGACCTCATAACTCAGTGTTCCCTCCTTTGGAGATCGTGTCCCCTGTGTGTGGCAGTGGTTGAAAGCAGCATTATTGCTCTGCTGGAAGATGTGATGTTCAGCAATGCAGGCTGCTTGAAGCAGCTGAGCTGCTGTGGCATCTCCATCTGTCAGAAGTACCAGGCATGGCGCCCTGCACGCTTCTCTCTGAGTGATGCTGAAGGGCAGTCAGTGCTGGGAGGAGTTCAGATCTTTTGTTTTTCCCATTAATTTTGCTGGACTTTAAGAATGAAATCAACTGTGCTGTGACTATCTAATGGAAATGAACTATGAGATTTACGTATTTTAAAATGGAAAACTTGCCATAAAACATCGGAGAGGCAGTGTAAAGATTTATGGGAAGTGCTGCTGCATTTAGAAGGCAAACTTTGTGGCAAGTTGCAGTTTTCTCATTTGATATTAATATGCTGTAGAAGGACTTGATTCAATCCCTGACTATTTAACCTGGAAACCACAACTTTCCTGAAAATGACAGTGCTAAAGCATTTACACACTTCAATTCCTGTTCTCAAAAAGACCCTGGAGCAGCTGGCAGCTCTCGGTGTAGCTGTGCAAAGAGCACTTAGGTGAGGTGCCCAAGCAAAGGCCCGGGCTGTCGCTGTGCCTCTGGGATGGTAGGACAGGTAAGTTGTGTGCTGCAGCCACCCCTGTGCGTGTGCTGCTCACGTGAGCCAGCTCAGGGCTGCCTGAGGGCTGCTGGTAAAGTTTACCATGGTAAACTCCAGCCAGAGGGTGCTGCAAACCCTGTCACAATAAGAACAGTAATGTCTATCTTGTTCTGCCTTTTTTTTTTTTTTTTCCAGATGTGTACAAATCACTTCAGAAAATCTCTGAGTAGGTTTGCATAGGCCTGTTCACCTTTTGCTCTACGGGTTTGCTGCTACTGCTGTTTTAAGAGATCTATTTCAGAAGGTTTTCTTTAGAAGAGATGAATGCACGTGGCTTGTCTCCATCAATGAAGGACTCTGTTAGGTGCCACTCGCTCAGCTGATGCATGTATAAGTTCTCCTTGCAATTTAAATGTGCATCACTGCGGATGGAAGCGCTGCCCCTTGGCATGACTTTAGTTGTAAGCAGCAGTTTTGTCCTTCCTGATACCAGTGGGAGCCAACGCAATTCATTCCCTTTGCGATGCATTCAGGAGACTGTTAGAAGTGCTAAAAACGTTCAGACTGAGAACTGCATCTGTCAGATACATGGTTGTGCTTTGGGGCTTGTGCCAACCTCTCCCTGCTGGGGGATGAGGAGGAGCATTGCTGCATTGCTCGGGGCTCTGTTGGTGTAGCTGATTATCGCAGGGCTTTCCTGCCCTGCCAGGTGCTGGTGCTGCTGGCTGTCGATACTGGAACCGTTTGGACCTTTGTGCTCAAGGCTGCCCATCCTGTGTTATTAATGTGGTACCTCGTAATCTGCTTGGGAGCAGAGCCCTCTTTTAAATGTGATACACAGAAGAGCTTTGAAAGAATTGTTAGATAAACTTTGGTGGCACCCAGCAGGAAAGCCACGCTTGCTGCCCTCAGAGGAGCTGGCTGCTGGGGGACCGGAGCGGCAGGGACTGTTGTGCAAAGTTCTGCTTCTGGGGGAGGGAAGAACAAGGAGTGAGTTTGGAGCCATGAGACCATGAGGTTCATTTTCCCCCTGTATCCCCCAGCTCCACAAACAGCCCTGGTTGGTGGGCAGCTCAGTGCTCTGCTGTTTGCTGGAACCACCGCAGGCAGCCTTGGCTCGCACAGAGCGATAGGTGAAAGTGAACCATGCTGATGCACTTTTGATCTAGGATGTATCTGATTATTTAATGCTTGCCAAATCCTTTAGGAACTGGTAATTAATGAGCAACTGGACTGTGGCTTTTAAAAAAAAATCTTTGTGTTAAATACTTGTCTTTAGTTCTCCTGGTATTAAAAATATGTATATAACATAACTTAAAAACTAAAGTTACTTGAATTTAAATTGTTTTTATCATTTTATATATATAAATATAAATGGTTTTATAGGTTGTTCTGCTTAACGTAGCTGTTTTGATAACTATTCGGTCCTTATGCTGATAAGCCCTTGTGGTTCCTCAGCTGCCTGCATCTGGTTGGAATTGCATAGGAACTTTTGGTGTTACAGTTTGTTAAATCTGGCCAGTGTGGTTGTTCCATTTCTAGTCTTATTTTTTAAAGAGTCGTCATCTGTCAGAAATCCCTTGATAGCTTCATGTACCACGGTGTCTTCTTCTAATAAACATTATATTTTCTCATTCCTGTGAGGTTTTTTTAATGGCTATTCATTTGAATTTGACTTTGTTAATGGAAAGGAGGTGGCCCAGAGCTGCTTTTCACCTGCTTCCCACACAGAGGTACCTTAAGTAGAAACGCAATTGTTTTTTCAGGAAGAATATTTTGCTGTGGCTCTGTGGAAGCTCTTTTTGTGCTCTCACATGGAGGTTTTTTCTTTCATTATTGCTGTGGAAGCGGGCAGAAAGGGCACCTGAAAGTCGTCCCCCCATCACAGGTGTGAGGGAGGTTTGGGCTCATCCTTTATTCCTCTCCTTAAAGCAGTCTCTTCAACCAAAGCAAACTTGTGGATCACAGCTCTGACCACAGAGCAGCTCACCCTGAGCCAGGAGCCTGTGGCTGCAGGAATGCGATGAAGCATGAGTTCAGAGGCTAAGATGACTTTCACTTACCTGTTTATTTCTTCACTTCCCCTAAGAGCGAAGGGTCCTGGTGGCCTGCTGTGTAGGGGATGGCTGGTCTGGGCTCATCTGCCAAATTCTTTGTGTTTGGGCTTCCTGTTATTCTTCAGTATCGTTCTCGAACAGATACAGCACCTCTCAGCAGACTGAAACGGAAAAAGCTGTTTGTTTGCTCTGCTGTTGTGCTGAGAAAGTGCTGGCAGGGCGCTGCTCCTGGGTTTGACATCCTTCTCCCAGGGGAAAGCAGCGATCCAGCGATGCTTCCTGGAAGGAAGGGCTGAGGGTGAATGGTGAGCGAGTGTTGGGAAGTACGCCTGAGTTCAGGAGCTTTGCTTAACCCTCTGTAACCCTGTAGGTGCTCGGTTTCCTTTAACCTCCTGCAGGTAGTGCTACCCTTAAGGGAACCCTTTTTCTCCAGTCTCTTTCTAATCCAGTCTCTTTCTTTTTGTCTTTCTTATGTTTTAGATTCCTAAAGGTGTTTGTGCTGGTGCAAGAACCTCGGGGCGAGCTTGTCACAGAAGGAGAAACAAAATGGTCTGTTTACCCTGCAGGCAGTTTAAACATACCCATGGAAAGCCAGACACCCACTCTTGTCTGGAGTTCCCACTTGAAAAATTCAGACCCAAATTCCATCCCAGTATCATTCAGACGCTTGCTCTTTTCCATGGCATGCTACTTGTGGCTCAGATTAACTTACCAGCCTTCCCTGCTCTACTACCAGCTTGGCACAGCCCTTCCATAAACAAAATAACCAGCACTTCCCCTCCCAGCTCCTCCCAGTGCTGGTCAGAGAACCGCTGGCTGCCCGTTGATGCAAAGGGCAGCTGGAGAGTCCCAAGCATGTGCAGGTCTGTCTTCTGTCCTCCCTTGTCCCTCAGTCCATCTGAATGTATGCACTGGTCCATCAGCATTTCACACGGTGCCTTTAGCACTAATCCTGCAGGTAGTTTCACCAGCTTGGAAAGGAGGTGCATACGCATGGTAAGCTGCTCCTGGGGACAGTGTTACAGCAGCTGGACTGGACTCTGAATTGGCAGATATTAAACTTGATCCACATGCATCACTCAGTATTCTTCTTTCCACAAAAAAGTCACTAATACTTTTCAGCCTTTATTTTTTTTAAATCTAGGCTGATGCTCATGCCAAGTATTAAATCCCTATGACCTTGCTGTTGCCTGAAAGCCTTCAAGCTCACGTATGTACACTTTCTTTCCTGCTTGTTCTCTCGCCCCTTCCCCTTTATTGCCCCCTCCTTTCTTCCTCCTGTCCCTCACACACACACAGACACACACAGACACCGGCGTTTTGGTTTGAAGCCCCGTTCTGCTCATCACAAAGACCTCCATTTTGCTCTTGTTTCAGTCTGCATGCTCGCCCTGTTGCCTTGCCTGCGCCCACCTTCCCAGGGGCCGCATTATTTTGCGGCTCGTTGTTAATCTCTTTGCAGTTTTCTTTTGTCGGTTTGTTTTTCAGCATTTCAGACCTACCTTCTTCTTTTGCATGACCTCTTGTGCGTTCTCACCAGTTAACGTTTGAATAACAGAACTTTTTTTAGAAAAGAAAAAAAAAAAATAAAAGAGAAAAGAAAAAAACTGCACTCTATTTCGTTCTCCCACGTTGTCATGGACTGGACCTTGGCCCAGAAGCCAGCCCTCAGCCATCCTGTTCTCACACGGTTTTATCTGAAGCAGAAGCGATGCTGCACTGGGTCACCTCATGCTTCTATCTCCAAATACGTTGCATGACCCAAGCTGCCTGACAACAGGGTCAGTTGCTTTCCAGATCTCTGTACTACAAATGCATTGGTTTCCCTGAGCCTTCACTGTTGCTAAGTTGTCACAGTAATCCTGTACCTGGTTAAGCCCTGTAAGAGTCTGTTGCTCCTTGTAGCTCCTGAGGGCCTTACTTATCCTTAGCCAACCTTGCTTATCCTTAAACCAACCCATCGTTTGGGGCAGTCTGCTTGCTCTTAGGGAACTTCAGCATCTCTTGTAACATCCCCAGAACATGAGGAAAATCTGTATGGGAGCTGCTGTGGCTGATGACCCTGAGATGAAACCTCTCAGGCGCAGTTTGCAGATGTGTGCGTGGTGTTCTGCTGCCAGCATGCAGGCACGTGTCCCAGAATCATCTGCTCTCCATGCTGGGGTTTGCCTTGGTCTTCCTCACTCGGGATGAAGTCATTTTTGAATTAGTGTTGTCTTCAGAACTTTGTCCCTTTCCCTTTGAGATACCCGCTTTGAATTTCCATAGCAGAAACCCCTCAGTCGGTCCTGAGCCGCTGTACTGCACTGCTTACAGCCTGCAAGCATCAACCAGCACCAGGTTATGTTTTAATGTGACCGAAGTGGAGCCTGCGCTGCGGGCAGGGCTGACACCTGGGCCTTCTGGAGTCAGAAGGGCCCTCTGCACTGAACCTGCCATCTCCATCACGTGAGCCCGGATCTGTGAGCCTCTGAGAGCAGCAGTGCCCGTGGCTTTGTGCAGGTGTGTGACAGAGCTGTGTGCCACCCCTGGGGGTCTGAGTGGCGAAGCAAGTGTGCAAGAACGGCCATAGGATATTTTAGCTGCAGTGTTTTATTCCTGTGTCTGATGCACTGTCGAATCAGCAGCGAGGGGAGTTCATTTGCACCTCTCATCGTGCCATCTATGTCAAACTTTTATCTAAGTTTGCTTTTATATATTTAATCTGGGTGGACAGTATATTATTGTCAGCCTCTGTGGAGCGTTGGGGCAGCTGCGGCGTCTGTGTTCAGTAGCACTGTAGGAGGAGCATTAGCTTTAGCTGCCTGTCTTTGAAAGAGTTGTATAAAAAAGGCCACAGATGGGGTTTTTATAAACTGGGTGAGCAGCTCCCTGCTGCCTGGATCTGCAAACTGAACACAAGAAAAACGATGGACAGTCGCGTGCGTTGTAGCCTACAATCTCTATTCTGCTGCCTTCCTTCAGGGTAAAGAACGGGTAACCTTGGTCAGTTTACCTTGTACAAAAGCAGAAGGACTGAATATGTGCACTGGTTTATAAAAACTCTGCTTGAACTTCTCCTGCCTGGAAGTGGGGACTGCACAGCTGCAAAACCCTGATGTCCCCAGCAAGTCTCTAACGCCCTTTCTTAACATCTGTAAATAGAGAAGAAACATATTTACTGATACTGAAAGTTGTGTTTAATGCTGAGTATTTTTCAGAAGTTCATTTAGTTTGATGCATATTGTTTGTTATTTTTTTCCTGCCTGAAGTGTCAAAAAACCTAAAAGAAGCCAAATTCTATTTTAACATGACGATGTCGAGCACTTTTTTATTTGTATATGTGTGTGTATGTGTGTTTGAGCACTGATCTCTAGATTTTGGTGGCATCTCAGTGTTGTGATTTCATTGCCAATGTAAAAGGTTCTGGTGTTGCCCATTTGTTTCTGGAGACAGAATTCAACCAAATAAAGTGCTTCCATTTGAAAGCAAATATTGACCTTGTAACAATGAAAGTCATCCACATATTTAAATAAACCTTTAATTCCAGAAGCACGGTTTCACTGCACCCCTTTGATCTTGCAGGGACAAAGAAAAGTGGTTTTGTTCCTTTTCTTTCCCCATAAAAAAGACAAAGCCTCTGCTGGGGGCTCTCTGATAGAGTGCGGCCTACAGCTCCCCAGTGACCTTTCTGCCTTTCCACAGCCATTTCTAGCTGAGAAGGGCTCTGAGCTGCGACCTGCTTCAGCCAGGTACCGGTGTGACAGCCTGCTGTGTTCACAATGATGGCATTCTCATGGTACTTCTTTCTTGGTTTTGTTTTTCATACAGGAATTTGCAGGTTTTGAGTACTAACGGGGCTCTGAGACGCACTGTCTCTCTTTGAGATGCTGTTCTATCAAACAGCCCAGCTAGCAAAAAGGTGGTGTGGTTTTATGGTTTGGTTTTTTGGTTGATTTTTTTTTCTTCTGTTGTTATTTTAAACTTTCTGACTTCACCTGTTAGCTCAGTTCACTGGAAGCAGCTTCAGCAAGGAGCCATGAAGGTGTGCAGCTGTGCAGCTGATGGTCAGTGATGCTTCACTTGAAGCAGCTCTGTAGAGATCTATGGTCAGATTGCTGTTTTAACAATTTCATTTGTTCTTTGCCAGCACTAATTAACATCCCTGTCAATTAAGGACAGATCAGTACTGTTTATCAAACAGTGTGCTAGAAAGGATGCTCAAAAGCAGAGAGGAAACTGAGCTGAGAGATGTGCTCCATGTCTTGGTGCTTCTTGGAAAACAACGAGCCGGAGGGAGCATCAGTCTGGCTGTACCTGTGATTTATCTTCACCAGTAGAAGCATTGCTAACTTCACATAGAAACAGAACAGAATGACTGAAGACAGGAACCTGAAGCCGAGGTGAGCAGCAGCTAGGAGGAAAATGAAATTGAGCTTTACCTCCACCAGATGTGTTACTGAAGGTACAGGATGCTGTTTGGCCATTCAGGAGGGTGGAGATGCACCACTGGCAACCACAGGCACCAGGATCAGGCTGAGGCAAAGGATGGCCAAGGGAAGCTGTGGGGTGAAGTTCCACTATGCTGGCTGTGCACCATGGAAGGAAGAGCTGTTCCCCTTTCTAGGGGTCAGATTAGTGCAGAGTATTTGTCATCGGTGTATCCCAGTCTCAGCTGCATCAGAATGAGGCTGCAGTCTAAGCCTGGGAGTAGTGAGCAGGAGAACAGCATGTAAATCAGCCCCCTCCCTCCTGCTGCTTCCATAGGACTGGGGGGGAGCAGAGAATCTGAAATCATGAAGCTAGCTCTGTCATTCCAGTGCATGAACAGTTCTCCTTTTGCAGTCAGCAAAAGATCTGAGCTGATACAGCTCAGCCATAATATCTGGCTTACATTAACAGCGAGTCCCAAAGCTAGCTGTGCTGAGATGTGCTCAGAAATACCAGACACTTACGGTGGGGGTCTGAGAAAAGCATCAATGATGTCACGTTTCAAATGAAATATAGATGCAGGACTAAGCTCTGGGTATTTTAATGGACAGAGGATAACAAAAAGTTAGGTTTGGCCAGTGCAGCGTTTGTCTAGACGCTGTATAATCCCATCCCTGGGGAAGGGAGTTTGTTAATGTCTCCTGGAATGTTACAAACTGTTCTGCAGTTGCTGAGGTTACGGCGTTTGTTTGCTAGATGCGAGTTTTGACGGTTGAATTCAAGTTGCTAGAGAACGAGCTGCATGTCCTCACTGCCCCAGCTCCTTGGGCAGCCCAGGCTCCAGCTAATGCCGTGTTATTCACCCAGCTGGCAGCCACTGCTCGTCTCCCGCAGCCCCTTCACCCCGGGGTGCATTTCTATCACCCCCATCTTTCAGCAGCTGGTCACCATGGCAGTGTGAGCCACTGAGAGCACCGTGTTTCTGGGCCTGCAGTCACAGTGCTGCTGGCTGCATCGTGCCCACGAGCAAAGCAACGCACGCACGTGTTAGCAGGGAGTGTGTGGAACCCTGCAGCCACACAGCACTGACAAGAACTGCACAGGCTCTGCTCGAGAAAGCCTGAACTTCTCCAGAAACTCCAGCCTCCTCCCCTCGCACGTGGCTTCCCTCACGCTGCTGCTCTCACCCAGCACGTGCTTCCCAGCCAGCCCAGCTTTCTGAGGTGAACTTGGCTGAACCAACACCAGCAGGAAGGCTTTGTGCACAGAGGCTGCCTGGAGAGCAGGCGCCCTCCTGTGCCCCAGCTCAGTATCAGCTGATGGGCTGCTCAGGAGTTACTGCAAGGCCTCGTGGCAGCAGAAGCTTGGGCGTTTTTTGGGTTTTTTTTTTCATTAGCAGCATGAACAGGGAGGAAGCTGGCAGAGGCTCGGGCCCTGCAGGCAGGCAGCAGTCGTGCAGTGTGTTGGAAGCACATATATTTATTGTAACGCGTTTTCAGCACAAGTATAACACTGAAGCACAGGAGCATTATTACAATCTGTACAATCCTCTGAACGGCACAGACAACACAGACATGCAGCCCTACAGGCTCTGCAGCTTCCAAGAAGGCTGCAGTGGTGAACAAAGCTGAGAACAATGAGAAATCCCAACAGCAGCTCATTCTTTGACCTCCCCTTGGGCTTATACAGGCATCCAATAAACAAGATAGTGAAATTAACATGCTGAACCATTTACAGGATTTATTTAAAGAAGGATTTGCTGTTTACAGCAATCTTTTGGTCTAAAAAAAATCTGAAGGCCACATTTTTTCCTTTTCAGACTCTTCTGCACTCTTCTCCATGCTCTGTGAGTGAAAGCACAGCCCTCCCTTCCTTTCTCTTTTCCATGGGCCCCCGAGCCCAGGTGTGATGCTGTGGAACCATGCAGGTTCCAGCACTGTGAACGCACAGTTTTGGTCCTCAGCCCCAGAGAGGTCCCCTCTGCCTTGCCAGCTCTGCCTTACTGAGATTCCATTGAAGCTCACTGGAACGCCCTGGTGCCCGCTGTTTGGCTGTGGCCTTGTCTTAGGTGAAGGAAGAACTGTGTAAGAATAGACCTGCTGGGATAGCTAGTGTTCACACTCCCTTGTCCTCCGGCCTCTCTCTGCAGGCTGTTATTACAGTCCACAGCAGCAGCAGACGAGGGAGCACGTTATTTCTATTCATTAAATGAGCGACTGCTTACACAAAGGACATCTGTGCTGAGAAGCTAAATGACCTCAGCACACAGGTGGAGGCTTGTCTGCAGAAAGCAGCTCGTTCCTGAAGCCACTCCACCTGATCAGCAGGCACCTTCTCCAGTGCTCCAAGAGGGCCCTGCCCACCTGAGCAGACTGTGCAAACATACGGTCACCCTCTTCAGACCCCACTCATCCTTTGTTTCTCATGACAGATGTAAGGACAGATCTGTGCTGACAGCAGGGTCATTCTGAGAAGGGGTTCTGGGCTTACACTGAACAGCTTTGCCCATTGAACAGCTTTGAGTCTAACCTGTAAGGCTGCATCCCGTATCTAGCAAGCTGCCAGGAGCTTAAGGGGAAATAAGTACTGAGGGAAGGAGAACTCATCCTCCAGCTTTGTTCTCTGAAAACATGCTGAACGCATGAAATCAGATACGAGGAGCAGAAAATCCTGCCAGGAAGGTGAAGGTGTAACTTTAGGGCTTAGGGGAGAATGAAACAGATATTTCAAAATCAGTCACTTGCAACTGAAGTTGCAGGAATTAGATAAGGAGCAAAACTAGGAAGTTGTGACAACTGTGCACCATCAGCACAAAACTACCAGGAGACCTCGTGGCTTTAGTTAGCTTCAAATAAACAAGTTTCTCTAGTTGCAATGCTGCTTACTGGAAACATAAATAGTATCTCATTATCTTTACACAGGGTTAAAAAAGGAAAGTGCCAAAAGCAAAACCTGCAAAGGAGCAGAGAATCAGTTTACTGAGGACAAGCTGAGAGTGCTGATTTCTTGTAAGCAAAGAAGAGGGAAAGGCTCAGGTCAAAACACAGGCTAGTAAAGTCCACCTGCAATCTCACCACCAGTTTTTTTCCCACTGAGGCTACAAAAACCAATTACAGAGAAACTGATTTCTCCCAGTCTTTCGTAGTACCAGCCCTTCATCCAGAACCTCATGCAAGGATGGCCAAGGACACCTGCCTTCCCCAAAGTGGTGGTGGGAGCTGCACACGCCTTTGAGTACCACACAAAGGAATAGGTTTGACTCCTCAGGGTTCCCCGTCCATCCACACACACAGTTGTGCCGTACCTTCCCTGCCCCATCCTTCACAGATCACACAGCCCAGGTCTCTGCTTCGATCTTCTGCTCCCCATGCAGGTTATCCAGTTCTTGGACCTGGGCCACGTTCGGTCTGACTGCAATCTCTGGGCCGCCTCCATACAGCGTGCTTAAATAAATCCACGTCTCCTCGGAAATCTGCCCGTAATCAGCACCTGAAAACGACAGCAGCAGTAAGCAGGCACGCAGCCATCAGCTGGAGGGGCTGCTGCATTACATCGGAGGATGTCGTCCCCCACCACCTCCCCCTGTACCAGAAGAGCAGGGCACAGCCCTATCTGTGCTGCCCGAAGGAAGCCCCTTAGCAGCAGCGCTCCCACCGCCCTCAGCAGTGCCACCTGCTGCTGGAAGCCACTGAGGCTCCATGGCACTTCAGCTCACAATGGATCTTGTATCTTGAGATACACAAATGCAATCTTCACCTGCCCAGCAGTGCAATGAGGACAGCCCAGGCAGTGTTATCTCACGAGCTGCACCGCAGCTTATGCTGAGTAAAGACAAGTCAAGTGCAACACTACAATAGTGGACAAAAGGAAATGATGGAAAGATGTGGGAACAGCAACAACAGGAGATGGAGGACCGCAGGGCTTACTACACTAAGTCATATCAGCATGTTGGTCAGTGGGAGCTGCCACTGGAGAACTGAGATGGCACTCGGGGCAGTCAGCACAGGGATGTGCAGAGAGCTCCTCCTCTGCGACACCGTCTTGTTCTGTTACTGCGTTGTTACAGACACACAGATGCAGTGCAATATTCTCCCTCACCTTTCAGGATGCTACAGGACAGC